GTATGGCATCCGATACAGTCATTACTGTTTTAAATATTTGTTCTTTTCCTTCTGATTCCTTCTAAATCCTGGAAGTCCCGGTTTTTAAAAATTATTTTTTATCACTTTGCTAAGCACATTGCCTAGCTTAATACATTTTAAATGAATGAATGAATGGCTTATACAAACCTTTAGGTCATATGTTTCCTTGGGATAGCCATTGATTTTATTTTTAATTTGCTAGAAGGCACATGCAGTCACCAGGGCCAGAGAGAAAGAGAGAGGGAGAAATCACCCTTCACTACAATCTTTTCTCTTCCATTTCTCCATCCCTTCGAGATTTGGGACACACATGTCTGGCATATTTTTCAACCTGCTGGGGCTGGGACTTGAACCATGGTGGGCCATCAGGGATCTAGTGTCTGGTGGCTTTTATAAACACTAGGACATGGGGCTATTTATTAGGAGTTATTATTATTATTTTGCTAGAGAACATTTGCATTTGCCAGTAAAAGAGATAGAGATAGGGAGAGAAAGCACTCCACATGGCAGACAGTCACACCATAATCCCTTCTCCTTTGTTTCTTCTTTTGGGATTTTTGACACATGCGCACACATGCCCAGCATATTCCCCAAATGACCGGGTCCAGGACTCAAATCATATGGTCAGCTTTGTGAGATCCAGCCACCCTAACCACCAGGGCACAGACTGGGCCAGAATTGATTCTCAAAATGTCGTTCTGAGCAGCTCTTTTAAGAAAGAAATTCCTTCCTTCTGCCTTTCTCATAGAATTTATAAACGTATCTTTGAAATAGAACACTGACTGGGCAGTTCGAGTCCTGAGCCTGGTGACTTGAAAATCACACTAGGCATTCTCAAAATCTGAGTGGATATTGGAGGAGAAGGGATTATGGTTTGGCCCTTCCTCCAGGGGGTGATTTTTCACATTCCCTCTCTCTGTCTCTTTGTCTCTCTCTCTGGCAAGTGCATGCACTCAGTAGTGAAAGAAAGAAAGAAGGAAGGAAAGAAGAAAGGAACGTAGGCAGGAAGGAAGGAAGTATATTCAAACTTGGTATACTATTTAAGTATCCCCAAACACTGCAAGCTCTACTGTGGGCTAATAACTTAATGGATTTTTGTGTTATTGGCATATGGAAAATAGGCTGTTAAAATCAATATAATATACATGCAGACATTCAATCTCCATAGTAAAACACTTGTCTCTAGGAATTACTTTAGAGAAAAGATGTATGTGAACTTCCTTTGCTCTTAATTGAACCTTCTGTTTCACAGAACCTGTACTTTATAATTCTTATTTATTTATTTTTAGCTTTTGCTATAGGGCACATGTGCTTTCCAGAGACAGAGAAAGAGAGAAAGTGAGAAATCACCTCCTAGGGGAATGAGCATGCTGCAGTCTTCTCTCCTCCAGTCTCCTCTTGGGATTTTGGGCACACACGCACACATGCCTGGCATGATTTTCAAGCAGCTGGGTTTGAACTTGAACAGTGGAGTTGGTCACGTGGGATCCAGCACCTTAACCTCCACACCACCTATTGGCCCCAAAAGTTTTATTTTAGTGTGTGATAAATATAACAACCATTTCACAGGTGTTACTTTTAAAAAGCTATTTTTTTTTTATCTCAAATAACATTTTTTTTTTGGAGAGGTTTTCGCTATAGGGCGTGTGCGCTCGCCAGACAGACAGAGAGAGACATAGAGACAGAAAGTGAGAAATCACTTCTCATGGGGCATGATCGTGTTGCAATCCCTTCTCCTCCATTCTCCTCTCGGGATCTTGGGCACGCACGCATACGTGCCCGGCGTGAGTTTTAAGCCACCAGGTTCGAGACGCGAACCGCGGTCGACTACATGGGAGGCCAGCGACATAGCCATTACGCTAACTGCTGGTTCCCTCAAATAACATTTTTGAAGTGATTTTTGTTGTAAATTTTAACAGCAACATTACCTTCCCCCATGTAAAGTATCTATTTTTTCTTTTCCTTTTCTTTTTCTTCTCTAAATGCAGAATGGGTTTTTAATTTGATTTTATTACTATTATTATATTTATTCCATGAGAGAGAGAGAAAAAAAAATAAAGAAGAAAGAAAGAACTAAAGATACAACACTTCTGGGACCAGCAGTTGGTATAGCAGTTATATTGCTGGACTCCCACATGGCTGACTGTGGTTCAAGTCCTAGACCCAGTGGCTTGAAATTCATGCCAGGCACATGTGTGTGTGTGCCCAAGATCCCAAGAGGAGAATGAAGAAGGAATTGTAGTGTGGCCATACCCCTGGGGGGTGATTTCTCACTTTCCCTCTCACCATTGATGTCTCTCTCTCTCTCTGGCAAGCATATGTGCCCTAAGGTAAAAACCCCCATTAAAAAACATACTCCTGAAGAGTCTTGATGCTGCAGTCCACCCTCCTCCCTCTAGCTTAGCCAGTGCAGCTCATGAGCACACACATGATTGGTGTACTCAGGGAGGTCTCCAGACTTGAGCTACAACCTTCTTAGGTGGATCTGTGTCTTAGAGTGTCGCGTTTCATCTCCATGTCACTCTCTAGTCTCCGTAGCCTGGGTTTCTAATTTGGAGTCAAGTCCTTCATAATAAACCTGGCCGTATTGAAATTCTTTAGATGATATAGTACCTATATCACCGTACTAGATAGACCTCTGATTAAGTAGATGTTTACTAACACTTTAAATCTACACATTTGGATGAACTTAGCTGACTTTGCTGGTGTGGGCACTCATAATACTGAAATGCCAGAAATTTATAAGAATATCAAGGACTCAGATCATATTAGCACAAACACCTAGATGACCATTTGATTTGTTAACACTTATCCCATTTTCAGACTTGGTAAAATGGATGTAAAGTAGCTGAATCCTTCAGTTATGTATACTAAGTCTATGAACAGCATATTTTCAGAGCAAGTTATATTAATAATAGAGATATACGAACATGAAAAAAGCTCAGTTATAATCACTGATCTAAATGACCTAAATTTCACTCAACTTGGCATCTTGATTTCTGGAGACCCCAGGGAAATGAAAAATAATGACAACAGGTTTTCAATCTGTTGCAGTATTAAAGTGATGAGTAAGAAACTCAGAAAGGAATGTCCTGAGACTGTTCTATTCATGGTACAGTGCAATTACAGCTAGCACCAAACTCAACACTGTTTAACTCTCTACATAATATTTTGATTTATCTTGATCCAACATTCTTAGATAGGAGGTACATTGAAGTTAGTAGAAAACAGTGACTTGGATTTTGGGTTGTCTTAAAAGCTTATTTGTGTAAAGTACTCCAGCCTTATTCAACAGATCACTGAGAAACTTGGAAAAACAAATTCCGGAAAAGAATCATTGTATGTCAATTACACAACGAAGAAGACTTTGTTAGATACAAACCAATGAGTTCCTTGCTATTGAAAAATATATCAGGATCAGGCACAATGCATTGCTAGCAATTCAGTGATATAAGAAAACTAAAGCAACAATTAAAACCTAAAGTAAATAAAAGATTTACAAATTGCCTCTTGATCCAGTCTTATCACAACACAAGACCTTATTTGGTGGTGTAAAAATGTCAGTATCTCCTTCTGAAGGAAAGGAAATGTAGCTATTTATCCTAATTAGAACCCTGCTAATGATAATGAGATTTGATTTTTTTTTTTAAAGAGATTTTTGCTATAGGGCACGTGCGCTTGCCAGAAAGACAGAGGGAGACAGAGAGACAGAAAGCAAAAAATCACCACCAGGGAGGATGGCCATGCTGCAATCCCTTCTCCTCCATTCTCTTCTCAGGATCTTGTACACGCATGCACATGCGCCCAGCATGAGTTTAAGCCACTGGTCCGGAACTCAAAACACGGTCAACTACATGGGAGTCCAATGACATAGCCATTACGCTAACTGCTGGTCCTAACTGCAAGGCACTTTTTACCAAAAATTTCTGATATTACCTTAGAGCAAATCACTTTTACCTGTTGAACTTTCCTCTCTTCTCTTCCTCCATACTTTACCTGCACTGGGTATATTCAAATTGATTATACAGGACTTATTGTTATTTTTGAAAATCATAACACATGGTAAATGTGTTTGTACAGCATGAACTGATTCAGAAATGGAAATATACATCTGAAATTTCACAAGATTTTTAACGTAAAGAGTCGATCTGGCAATTGGCTAAATTCATTTATTTGTTAGATCAGCTAACTACGTATGTTCATTATCTGCTCATCCATCTAGCCATGCTTCCATCTGACTGTCCTTTAATCAATTCAAGCAAGTATATATTGAGAATTTTCTGTAAGTCAATCATTGGGCCAGGTACTGTGAATTCAGTGGGAAAACAAGATAGGAGATTACCCTGCTCTTGTTGAATTTATATTCGTGGGGTAAACACAACACTGAAGAAAAAAATAAATAAAATAATTAATGATTGAAATTAGAAGCAAGTAGGTAGAGACTCAGTTGGATATTGTGCAAAACAGTGGTTGATTTGGTTTTCTCAGCTGTCTCAGAGAACAAATATTGGCGTAAGTTTTATAGTAGAGCTCTTATGATGGATAGGAAGACAATTGTGTCAATATTATTTATCAGTTTATCTCAAAAGTCAGATTAATTCATTTTCATTTGAAATTAGATCAAGCTATGCATTTCTACTTCTGACTTCAGCCCATTCTTAGAAATGCTGTGCAGTAAGACCCTCTATTATTGCTTTTCCTTAATACAAAATGGGCATTTTCAACCTTTGTATCATTAATAAAGGTCAGTGATACGTGAAGCCAGCATCAGGGATCTGAATCCTGAGGGCCAGTTTTTATATTCTTTTCTAGGGTTGCCCTTTCCCATATCAAAGTGTGTAAAAGGTTTGAATGAGTAACTAAAAACCTTCCTCTGTTGACTAGAGAAATAATCCTGATGGTCTTCACTGGGGTACAATGCTGAATTATATTTATGGTTTATATGTCACAGGAGTAATTCTGTCACTTTTACCTTGTAGGTGGGCCTCTTGGGAAGGACTGGGTCAGGGAAGAGTACTTTGTTATCAGCTTTATTGAGACTGCTGAACACTGAAGGAGAAATCCAGATTGATGGTGTGTCTTGGAATTCAATAACTTTGCAACAGTGGAGGAAAGCCTTTGGAGTGATACCCCAGGTGAGCAAAAAGACTTAGCCAGAAGAAAGGCAAGTAAATTACATTTTTATCATTATGTGACACTTCCAATAAAAAAAAAAATTCACATTACCCTGCAAAATGTCATAATTTCATGAGGACTATCACTTAAGACACCATCTGCAGCAGGATCCCAAACCTGAGGCTCTTGTTTTTACCAGTATTTTTCTTGTTGTTTTGTTTTTCCTGCTTCAGTGGTCTGAATTCAAAGTTAGCAATCACAGCAGGTTGAGAAATGCTTTGCAGGACATAAAAGCTACTCTTGAAATAATAAACAGTTGGGAACATGAAGTGGTAAAATCGAAAATAGAAAGTGTAATGATTTTGTTTTTGTTTTTTTTTTTTTTTTCCCCTGCCTGTGTCTAGAATGAACCATGTCAGTTTAGTCTATAGCTTTTTCTTTTTCTTTAAACATCACTTTTTGATTTGGGTCACAAAGGATCTCCAGCCTCACCAGTTTAGTATCATTCTATTTGTTTTATTGTGTAAGAGAACATCTTGTGTATGAGAGAAATAGGTTCCAGTTTAAATAGTCTAAATGGAAACTAAGCAGTGTCTGCTGAGGCCAGATATGAAAGGCATTCGCTGTCTGTCTGCCCGTATTTACTCTCATGTCTGTGGGTGTCTTTACTGTTGTAGTGATCACGTTCTTCCTCTGGGACCCATGGGCACTAAATCTATCTCACTACCATGGCTCTTTCTACTTCTTTTCTACTTAGAACACAAAATTAAAATGCCAAGAGCATCTCCAGGTAAATTGACTATAAATCTAGGTGGAGAAAAAGTTTGTATTTCGTGATGGATTAGCCTTGCGGAACATTTGTGTCTTTCAACTAATAAAGCACCCAATATTTGAAGTGCTAAACTGATGATTTAATTCATTTATCTAGACTTTGCCAGACTGCCAGAAGCTGAATCTTGCAGTTTTAAAAACAATATTGTTTCTTCAGAATGAAAGCAGAGATTGTCAGATGGTCTAAAGATAAACAGACACTGGTGGTCCAAGTATCCTGGGGTGATAACATTAAGCAAAACAAAAATGCTGAAGAACACGGAATAGAATCTGAGCTGTCTGAAAATTGCAGCTATGCGATTTCACGTTAAGCCTTTGGGTCCCGTTTTTAACTCACAACAATGAAGCTTTTGGGTTTTGTCGTTCTTGTTCACAAATCTGCTCACTAGGGTAGCCAAGCTCTAAGAAATCATCTTCATTGCACTGGGAATGTCTTAGTTGATCTGCCAGGTGGCAGAGAGGCTTTTGTTTTATTGCATGCTCTCCTTAGGAACCTAAGTATGTAAGGCCTGGCGGAAAACCAAGTGGGCCAGGGTGATGAAAATTCTTTATCCTGCCTCTCTGCCAGAGCGAATCTTCCCAACGTGCCTCACTTCATTTTCCTTCTTCTGTGGCTTGAAGCTTTGAATAAACAGGAAGTACTTTCAGAGACTCTGTTTGATTATGCTGATGTATTGAAGATACTTCTCATATCTGTGTTTATGACCCTGCTTTCTGGGTCTATCTCTCAGTATTACAAGGATGTCTGTAGTCAGACTATATATTATTTCTTCAACAGTCAACTTTCTCTACAGACAACATTTTTTTTAAGAGTTTTTTGCTGTAGGATGCATATGCTCACTGGGGAGAGAGAGACAGAGACAATGAGAGGCAAAGTGAGAAATCAACCACCAAGGGGGATGGCCATACTGCAGTCACTTCTCCTCCATTCTCCTCCTGGGACCTTGGGCATATACACACACATGCCCAGTGATTTTCAAGCTACCAGGTCTGGGACTTGAACCACAGTTGGTCATGTGGGACGGAGTCCAGTGATGTAACCACTATGCCATCTGCTGATCTGCTGGCTTCCAGACAACTTTTGAACATTATGTGAATGCCCAAGATTAAAAAAAAAGAAAAAGAAAAAGAAAAAGGGCAAACTCCTCATGCATTGTTGATGTCTAAGCCACGAGATATTTTATTTTCCTAATTTTTCTTTGAAAGTTTAAACTAAGTAATTTTTCCTTTCCTAGAGTTTAATCTTTAAGAAGAAAAAGAAGGGGGGCCAGCAGATGGTATAGTAGTTATGTTGCCAGACTCCTACATGGCTGACCATGATTCGAGTCCTGGACCCAGTGGCTTAAAAATCATGCTGGACATGTATACGTGTGTGCCCAAGAATCTGGGAGGAGAATGGAAAAGAAGAGATTGCAGTGTGGCCATCCTCACAGGGGGTGATTTCTTACTTTCCTTCTCACTGTCTCTAGCCCCCAATACCCGCTCTATAGGAGCCTGTGCCTTAAGACCAAAAACCTCTTTAAAAAAAGGAGGAGGAGGAATATAAAATCCCAATGATAGCAATTTTTTAAAAAGAATTATTTAACTTTACTTATTTATTTATTTGTTTTTATTTTACCAGAAAGGGACAGTGAGAGAGATGGGGGGAGAGTGAGAAAGCAAGCCTCCAGGTCCAGAACTTGAACCACAGTCAGCCATGTGGGAGTCCAGCACCCTTAACCTCTACACCACCTGCTAGCCTTGATAGTGAGTTTTGTTTGTTTTCCCTTCTTTTTCTTCCTTCCATCTCCAGGGACTTACAAGGGCATAGTTCTGAAGTTCTTTGACATTGAGACATCTGAGACCTCTGGGTGGACTGGTCACTTGTTTTCAGACACATAAAACTGGAACTTTAAACAAGAAAACTTCTCCCTCTCTCAGTGATCCAAGACATCAACTGTGGAATCGTAAGATTCCATTTGTTTTAGCAAGTCCTTACAGCTTTTTATAAAATGTTATTCCTTCCTGTAGCTACAAATAACCTTAGAGAATGCACCAAGCTGGAAGACAGGCTACTGTGTATATTTTAAGGTGGCATCTCCTTTAATTTGTTTCACTTTACCTGTGAGCTATGAGGTCATGAAGAGGCAATGAGGCTTACAGTAGGAAGCCTCATTGGCTTAGACAATTCAAGCACCAAGACAAAATTGTTCTTTAACCTGGAACTTTAAGAAGCCCTTAATTTGTTAAAAACAGAGAACTAATTTTTAAATGGATTTTTAAAGCTTCCGTTTCAAGTTTGAAAGGCTACAAGGTGCTCTGAGGGAATGACTAGGCCCGTTCTTGCAATGAGCCTTTACAATGTGAAAATGGTGCCTACACACTCATTCCCACTACAGAGTTGGAGCAGTTTTTCACTCTGGGGGTTGTCAGATACAACCAAACATGTTTCTGTAGACCAGAACAATGAACTTGGGGAGCAGCAGTTCTCATTCAGTTTAATACTAATCTGCAATTTAATAATCATTATATTACTCTTATGTGTTTACAATGATAATTATTATACATCCAGTACATACATAAGAGGTATAGATAACATTTGTCATTGAACTGCCACAGTGAGGTCCTATCCAACCTATGAACTTTTTCCCCCCAACCTCTGAACTTCTAATGAGAAACTCAAAATTACACTCCTTGTCATAAGTCAGAGATCAAAGTCATGTGTCACCCTAGGGGCTCCTCGTGGGTGCTTTGGGTCACTATGAGAAAAATTCCAGCCTCTAAGCCTTGTAGTTGCAGTGTCCAGCATATCAGTGTGCCATTTCTTTTTCTGTACTGCCCTAGCTCTGTTTTCCTCTTCATTTTTTCCTTTGCATCCTCCAATCATTTGTTACACACAAATTAAACTTTTTAAAACAACATTCAGATTTTACGAATCTGGAGTTTTGGACTCTCACCCTAACAGTCTGTTCCTGCATTTCAGTCTCAGAAAAGACCTAAAACCTTGTTTATAGATTTTTATGGGTCCTTCTAATATGTCTTGTATTATCTTTACTTGTGCATTTGTCTAATTTCCACTTAGTATTTTAAACATTTTGCAAGCATTCTGTTATAGGTAAGAAAGCAAAATTTAAACATAAAATAATCAACAATTGAGGCAGACCAGCAAAAAGAATATAATAGAACTGCTGTAAAACATAGATTTTTTTTCTTACTAATTTATCTCTCTTATACAGCATATGGCACAATAGCTTGCATGGTAAACATTCAATATACTCTGTGCTTGGTAACTAAATGCTTGATCTCTTCTACAAGAGATTGTGGTTCTACCAGTATATGGGTTTAATCTATGTCATTTCAGGCAAATTCTTTTGTTTCTCTGTGTCTCAGTTTCCTTGTCTATGAAAGGGATGTGGTGGTAGTAACTATTTCATTGGATCTTTGTGAGGATTAAGTGAGTCAATACACACTTAGACTCCTCTCTTTGCACATAGTAAGTACAGACACTGTGTTGTGGTGGTTGTTACTGTCATTTATAGTTCCTTGAGGAGATGAGGAATCATATCTCCTTCATCTTTATGTTGGATTGGAGGTATATGCCATAGGAATGAACAATTCAAAGTGGACAGTTTCACAAATTGATTATTAAAGGGGCCACAACGGGTCTTAAAGTTTGTAGCATTTAGAAAGGTCAAGGGCATGAGGTTGTGGAGAGAATATTCCAGGGTTTCAGGAAGGAAGGTTAAGAACAAGTACAAAGATGGGTCCTAGAAACGTTAGGGGGTCAGAGGAGGCCACATGTCAGGGATTATTAGGAGGAAGAAGAAAGACATTCCAAGCACCAATGTTGTCCAGTAAGAATGGACTGATCTTCTTAGATGAATAAGAGGCTGGTAAAGGGTCGTGGAGGACCAGGCTGTCCCCTGCAGCAAGTGGAAGATGGATTTCTGGTAGACAGGATGAGAAGCAGGGAGATGGCCAACAAAACTCTCCAGCTGAGATGTGACAGAAGCCTGGACTAAAATGAGGAGGACAGGAGACATGAAGTGCCAAATTCAAGAGAGAAGGAAAAATGCCTAGTGTGGACATAAGCATAGTAACAGTTTTATTAATTCTGAGTATAAGAATTTGACATTTTTTTATAATTTGGGCAGATCAAGAGAATATTTTATTTTATGATATCCCTGAAAAAGTGTACCTTGGGACTGGC